ACTTTAGTTCTTGGCCCGAAGCGATTAAACGGTTAAATTTTCCTAGATCTGAGAAGGAAGAAAAGAGAAAAAAAATAAAAACTCTTTTTTTTTTTTTCTCACTCTCTCTTTCTCACCGGCTGTAGAACACCCAAAAAGTGGAAGACAAAGTCTTCCACTTATATATGTATATATATATTATTTTTTTTTAAATTTACGTTTTTGACCCATAATTTAACAATTAATTATTATTTTACCCTTTTATTTTTATTAGGATTAATAATATATATTTTTTTTTTCGGGTTTTACAACAGAGTAGTACGCGAGCAGCTAACCACAAAACAATGAGAGTAGATCTGAGAAAAACATAGTAGACTGCATTGAAAGGCAAGTTGGGTTGTGTTATTGTGTTAGAGCAGAGTAGACTGCATTGAAAAGCAAGTTGGATTGTGCTATCGCATTAAGTAGAATAGACTGTATTAAAAGAACGAGTTAGATTGTGCTAGAAAGCAATCAGAGAAAGAGGGAAAAATCGGTGCGTTTACACCAGTATGTTTACCATTCAGACGAATTAGGAAAGGTAGGCCAAGTTTACATTCCCCAATAAAAGTTACAAATGCTAGCTTAAAAAAAAAGAATTAAAAGATCCTAAGTTTCTGTAGAGGGAACAAGTGGAGGGTCCTGCAATGAAGTTACTATAGCCTCTGCAGGAATAGAGGTAGAGCTCGGTAGCTCACCAGGCAACCCCTCTGAAAAGGTAGCAGTTGAAATCTCAAAAGAGCCAAGAACAGGTGAGGAGGCTGGGGCCTCGATCTCAGACAGAGCTCTCGTTACCAGATCAGCAGAAAAGGACGTATCAGCTAGAACAGTTGGAGGAGTGGACATTTCAGTACCTTCTAGAGCTCTATCAGAGGCAGCGTGAACCAAGGTGCTGTCATCACCATCTAAATCAGACTCCTCCAACTCCTCCTTAGTGGGGATGACAAAGTCAAAGTCGAGGTCTGAGTAGGCCTTCTCCGCTTTGCGCTGAAAGGTCAGCTATCCTGAGGCCCACTTGGTGGTGACATCATCCTTCAGCTTGACTATTATGTCATCCCTCTTCTTTATAACTGTCTTCTGCACCTCGAACTCATTGCATAGGCCCTCGTTCGTCTCAGCCAGTATAACATACTCCTTCCTAAGGCTCTCGAGGGAGCCCCGAGCATCAAAGGCTTCCTGGCTAGCTTTGTTCCAGGCATTGGTTTTGAGTAGCGGCTCTTCCCTGGTCATCCTTAGCTCATCCCTGACCTTCTTCTCTCTTTTCTCAGCCCTATCCTTAGCAACTTGAAAGCCCTCATAGTCATAGGCCTGCTTCTCCATTTGCTCCTCGAGCTTTTGCACCTGAGCTCTGAGGCTCTCATTGTCAAAGGTCAGCTCAACAACCTTAAATTCGTATGTCTTCAAAACTTTGGCAGAATCCTCTGAAGATTGGACCCTGTCCATCAAGTTCTTCAAGTGGAGAGTCATCTGTGAACAAAAAAAAAAGAAAAAAAAAAGAAAAAAAAAGGAAAACAGACATAAATCGACACAATTCAACCGCACCGAACTAAGTGCCAGTGTGAAAATACTTACAGTGGCTGCTCCCTTGAGAGCTGAGCAGAAAGAGGCCTCAGGAGGCATGATATAGGCCTTCTGAATATCGAATTCAGGGAGAATGGATGAAATGGCCCCAGCAGCCAACTCAACATTGTCGAAGAAGGAATCTTCATCAGTCTCCTGGCCCTCCCTTCTTTCGACTTTGGGACCCCGGAGAGGCAGCTGGGATGGTTGCTCAGGCGGTCCGGGGGGTGCAAAATCTAGCTTGATTCCAGTAATCAGCCTCAATGTTCCCTCAATCTGGGAAGAGGTAGGGGAAGCCAGCCCTGACTCGGAAGTCTTTTGGTTAGCAAACTGGACCCCTTGAAAAGGAGAAGGGGCCAGGGATTGAGATGAGGGATTCTGTCCTCCCTTGCTTAGGGCAGAAGAAGAGGGCACTCCCAGCTTCTGCACTTTAGCTTTGTCAGTAGAGCTACCTCTCGAGTTGGTATCGGCCTTCCATTTGTCACTTTTCCTACTCTTCTTTAGTAAGTCAACTTTGGCTTGGAGTTCCTCAGGGGTAGATTTCATTATGGAGGAGCCTGGGAGATCTGGACCAAGCAAGTTAGACAAGAGAAAGGAAAAAGAAGGAAAGACAAGGGAACCAACTTAGAAAGTATTACCTCTTATGTCTTAAGGCCTAACAACTGAGATAGGGATCGGAGCTTCAATCGATACCTCAGGAGGACTGAATCCCTGTGTTACTAAGACCCAGGGCTTGATGAGCTCGAAGTACTTCTCTAGATTGCACTTCTCCAACTTTTGCTTTACCCTTTCGTCCTCAGCACTGAGCTCTGGTCGAATGCCTGAAAAGAAACACAAGGAGAGCAAAGGTCAAAAAGGAGACTCAACGATTCCTAAACCAAAGCTCAATCAGTTCGAGCAAGAGCTCACCTAAGTTATCAGGGGCGGACCAAATTCTAGGGATACCCAGAGTATCAGTCCTGTCAGCAGGGTTGTACTCCCAATTGGTGCCCCCAACAAAAAAGAATTGTTTCTTTCAACCCTTATGGGAGCTCAAGAGATGAGTAATGATTTGCCTAGTCGTGGTTCGTTTGGAGATATATAAGAAACCCTCTGATGAGGTAAGCTTGACATTAAAGAGATCCACAAGCAAGGAAAGGCTGGGGACCCCGAGTCCATGAATCTTGAAGAAAACCAGAAGACCCACAAGTACACCTCAGAAATTAGGGGAGAGCTGAGCAGAGCAGACATTGAAGTGTTGCAAAATATTCTTGATGAAGGGATGCATAGGAAGCGAAAACCATTCTCAAAAGCTGCCGCAAAGAAACATACCCTCTTGTGAACTTGGGCAACATATGGGGTGTATTTATTTGAACACAAGGAGGAAAGCCATAACGAGCACTGAGAATTCTCACATGAGAAGAGTCAACCTCATTGGGTCCTACAAGCTCAACGTGCCTAAAGGAGACCCCTATGCTTGCTGTGCTGTCAGAGACTCCTATCTCACTCACCTTGTCGTTACCTTTGATAAGATTAGGGGGCACAGAAGAAGACGATGGGGATGGTTCCTTAGTATTTTTTTCGGCATCGACAGCATCCACACCGGGGAAATTGTCGATTTTTTTGCCTAAATCCCCTAAATCAGTGTCCTCTTCGGTAGACCTTTCCCCCAAGAGAGAAGCAGATGATCATGTAACTCTANCCACACCGGAGAAATTATCAATTTTTTTGCCTAAATCCCCTAAATCAGTGTCCTCTTCGGTAGACCTTTCCTCCAAGAGAGAAGCAGATGAGCATGTAACTCTGGAAGGAGTAGACATAACTGAACAGGAGAATGGTAAACTGAAAGAACGGTAGAGAGGGAGAATACTGATTAAGCACTCCCTAATAACCTTAGGGTCAGCGCAGTAGCTTTCAATAGCAAGGATTCGCACGATAGAAGACCAGTCCACGAAGTGGGGGAGAGGAGACGGATAGTAATTTCGATTCCAAAAGTAAAAGAATCGAAAGACCCAAAAATGCAATGGCCACCTCGAATTCGAGGGATGTAGAACGAGGAAAGATGAAAAAGGGACAGAAGGGCGTACCTAGGGGGAAAGAGCAACGAACAGCAGCCTAGAGTGAAATGGAAAAAAGAGGGCAATGCGAATCCTCAAATCGAACCCACAGAACTCAATCTTGAACGAGGAATCAGAGAATTCCAAACCAGAAAGCCAAGAAATCGCAAAAAGAGAGAAGCAGCAGAGAAGTTGAACAATGGAATAGGGTGGTTCAGATAGCCGTTTGAGCATTTAAAGCCTGAAAGACGTGGACTGAAATGTGCGCGAAAAACGAGAAAGTCATGATTGTTGAAAATCGCCAAAAAGGCCAAACTCACGTGCGGGCCAAGGTCAGCCACGTGTAGATTCTATTCGGTTTACAAAACAGCTCAACCCCTGCCCAAGCCTGCTTGAACCAGAGGCTGGGGGGGCAACTGATGATACCTCAAACAAGCCCTAGTTGTGAGATCAGGTCAGGAGGTTGGGTCAGGAGGTTAAGAAAGACATGAGGAGCTCAGAGAACCAGGGGTGGAGTTCCCCTTAGGGAGATCGTAGCTGGACCGACCATGAAGCAGCTGGGTGACTGCGAAAACTGGGCCCCATATATGAAACTCTTAATCAACCAAGATTCTCTCCTAAAATCAAGGAGAATCCCATGAATAATGAGCAAAAATCTCGACTGAAATCCCACGGAATAGGGGGCAGTCTTATAAATACTATGCAACACCTCATCGTGAGGTGCACGAAAGAGAGAAAAACCCTAATCAATTTAGCACTGTCTTGTATTACATTCAACCAGTCAATAGAGAAAAAGAAGGAGCAAGAACCTCCATTGAAGAGTGAACTAGCCGAGCTATTGAGTCGGTGAACCACTATATTTTCACTGTGTACACCCTTCAAATCCCCTCAATATTTGATTGCAGCATCATACACGAGCCTTGCAGCTCTGATTCATTCTCATCTCACGTTACTAGCACCTTTTGCTCATCCACGTTGATTTACGCCATCAGAAACAATATAGAAACAGACCAAAGCAAAATCTACATGTAAAAGTTTGCTATGCCAAATAATATTTTAGATTTCTGCTATCGTTCATGAGCATAAAATCTCAAGTTTTGAATAGGAATATACTGAAAAAAAAATTCCCTGAATAATTTCAAATGTAACTTTAATGGAATAAACAAGTGCAACATGTATGCTCAGAACCAAATAGCAAATAATAAAGAAATTTTAGTTAGAAAATTAAACATCAAATAAAAACATTGCTTAGTTTGCACCGCCACATTGAAACTCCAACGTCATTTGTTCCTTCGATTTGCTCCCATGCATATTACGGTTATGTTACACACACTCATATATGGTTGTTATGCAAAGTCAGAATATAACAAGAACTAGAAACATGTAGGTTACTCTGAAGCTGCAGCCACTGTTCAAGCGATCCATCACCTACACAACGATGAATGATTCAAACTTGGGAGATCAAGTGGCTAGCTTTGGCAACCATCACGAGTTTGCAGACCTACAATGGTTCCCAAGTCAGCAAGAGGTGGTCTACCGGATTGATGATCGAGTCTCCTCCAATCGGTCAGGCAATGGTCTCAATGACTTTCCTGGATTTCGCTCCACATCTTCACTTGTATCGGGAATTCTAAGAGGCATAGGTATGCTCATAACCACTCAGTTTTGTTGCGTAGGAGAAATTACAGATTACCTTTTTTTACTTTGAAAAACTCTACACATGACTCCATGTGGTTTTGGCCTGAACTGAAAACACTACAATTCTTAAGAAAATTAAACATTGTATTAAATAATATATTGAAATGACTTTTATACCCTTATACACATTATATTTTGTAATTTTTCTCTCTTGAAAATAAATTAATCTATTTATCTTTTATTCCTTTTCTATGCATTGACTAGATTTTTTAATTGGTAAAAAATCTTTAGAATTTTTTTAAAAAGTATTAATGGATATTATTGTCTTTTAATACTATACATTGACTAGATTGTGCTGCACTTTAATCTCAAACCACAGGAGGTTATGCATAGATTTTAAAAATGTAGGAAAGTGAATTGCCACTGGATCAGGGAGATAATTTGTAACCTAAGATTGAACGAATTTTATATGGAGGTTTTTATACCTGCTCATGTTTGTTATTGAATAGAGGAGAATCAAGAATCCAGAGGTGATGTCGATGGAAAATGCACCAATGCCAAACTTGTTACATCTGCATTGAGGACTACTGCGTTTGGGTTGACAAACAATGGTATTTCTTCTCATCGTACTCTTGTTAAACCGTAGCATGCATAAAGAATAATGACTTTCAGAAGTAGTAAGAATCCAAGCTCAATATGAAATAATCAGATCTTCTCCAATTAAAATGAAGTGACAACACTTATAAATGACAAGACCCACCATACGACATCTTGCCAATTGTTTTAAGGAGAATTAAATGGTGTTAAAAAAATTCAATGTTGTATGCTGATGTACAACTTTTATAGAGTTTTTGTATAATTTTGTGCCGTTTGTTTATAATTTTTTGGAGGTTTTTTCGATTGTTCTTAGTTATTTTTTTAGGTTTACTTCTAGACACCTATAAAATTGTAACGTAACCCTTAAAAGTAATAATTTGAATATCAAAAATTATATTTTTACGGTGAATCTTAACATTTTATGATCGATACTAACTTTTTTTTTTTCTCTGTTGTAACTTGACCCAAAAAACTTGTATTTTAATTCACAAAAATTATGAAGTTTGGTAATGTAACTCTTTTGATACTAATGTCAAATCTTTGTTTTAATATTACCACATTAGCAATATTAATTATTCTTAATTTGGAATTAAATTTGAAAATCCCAGACATTATTATATTTGGAATTCTAGTGATCTTCATTCAATGCCAAACCCGCTGCTAATCCAATTAGGATAATTCATTATATTCTCAAGTTATACTCTCAAATTAAATCCAAATGTCATTACTCTTGATACTAACGTGTTACCTGTTGTTGGCATGACCAATTGCTTGCAAAGTTGCTACCCTAACTTAGAAAATCTATCCGAGTTTGCTTGTCAAATTAGTATGGACTGTATCATTTTTAGTTAGATCTACTTATCCAAATATACATGGATAAGCATACACCTTCATTTGGTAAGTAAAATTTGATAAAATATTTAATATACACATTATTACTGGGTCGACTAATCGACTTAATAAATAGGTTTTAAAATTTTCGAGATAATTGATTCATGACCCATGCTCATTGGTTAACCGTGTGCTGGAGAGTTCAAATAGTTTCACCTATCCTTTTACCTTTCTTAGGGCCGGGGTAGTGGGATGGGAAGGGCTTTTTCATTGATGATGAGATTATATAAGTCGGGAAAGAGTTCAATTTCTGTATTTTTAACAGGTATTCTCTTTATCGGCTATCCTGTTGTGGGATACCAAAACCGCCTCCAAGCCTCGGGGACCTGTCTTGATAGTCTTGAGGACGCACTAGTCACGAGTTGTACATGGGATCCTCGAGTTAAAGGTTTATTCTTTCACCAAACTACGTTCAGCATTGGCTTGTCAAAGGTTAGGGGTTTCATTGAAGACGTTCAGAAGTTGGTAGCTTCGGAGCCTAAGGCCATGTGTGGCGTGGACCTCTACAATGGTATACTAATGCGATATGTCACAGCTTCAAGTGCATATTTGGGAAAACAAGAAGACGCAATAGACTTTGATATTACATACTACAGAAGCCATGACCCCATGAGCCCTAGACTCTACGAAGACATACTCGAAGAGGTTGAGCAGCTTGGAGTCTTCAAGTATGGAGGCTTGCCACACTGGGGGAAGAATCGGAACGTGGCTTTCGATGGGGCGATCAACAAGTACAAAAATGCAGGAGAGTTCTTGAAGGTTAAAGCGATGTACGATCCATTGGGGCTATTCTCCAGTGAGTGGACAGACCAGGTTCTTGGAATGAAAAGTGGAGTGACTATAGACAAGGAAGGGTGTGCTTTGGAAGGCTTGTGTATATGCTCACAAGACATTCATTGCGCCCCAAAGAAGGGCTACTTTTGTCGACGAGGCAGAATTTACAAGGATGCAAGGGTCTGCACCACCCATTTAAGTTCCATAAATATGTAAACCTATTTAACAACCCTACCAGCTGTTTGCTTTGGCCAGTTGGAACAATGTCTAAAATATATAGGAGTTGATTTACTAAGCAACATGATTTTATTCAGCTGAAACACATTCCAAAACTACACTATCTGCATACTAATTTCAGTTCTTGTTATAATGGGTCTAGTGAAAAATGCTTATTAATCCATACTATTGAACATTAGAAAGTTTGTTAAATAGCCAAAAAATGAAAACTTTAAAAAAAAAAAAAAATATTTGAAGAGGCCAAAAAATTGCCTAAAGGGATCAGAGCCGAAATGCTTCAGATAAGGCCCAAGTGTCTTTGATCTGAGGGTTGGCAAGAATACAACATTTACGAAGGAAGCAGAGAGGGAGGTTGTGTGTTTTTTGGGCCATCCAAGGATGGTCTCATTCTGGGCCTTTTAGAAATTGCAGCTACTTGGGCCTTTTTATTTCCAAATTATTTTGGGTCGAATTCATAACAGTTATAATTACGGAAAATTGGTGAGAAGTATAATTTGCAGATTTTTGTCAATAAGTCTATGCATAAGTTTTTTAAGACCTAGTCCAAAGTTGTTTGTTTTAATCATTTTATATGACAAAAATCAAGGGCTAATTTCACCGCTTCGTTCTTTCTTCTATCACTGCTGCGAAGAGAAGAATAATTTATTCGTTGATGTCATGTACGATTATAAGTAAAATTATGTTCTGAAAAATTTTACAAGTCACAGAAAATGATGGTGACCATGATTGCTATTGATGGATCTCAAGTGAGATGGCGGTAGCGGGTTGTTGAAAGAGCCTATGAGCTCTTTGGAAGGGAAGTCAGCAGGGCCAAGCATAAAAAATTTATATGCTATATAGTATATACTATATAGTACTGATCCGAAGTGTATATAATGAGATAACCAATAGTGTAATCATTTGCCTTAGTTTTGTTTCTTTCTTTTATTATGAAAATTCTTCATTGTAGGTTTGTTTTTTTAGGGTTAAATGGTTTTTGTTTGTTATTGGTTTACATGAACTCTTGGGAGTGTTGGGTTTTTGTTTTCTTGAAGTCTTATAATTTTTTTGGGTTTTGATCTTTGCTGTTAGTTTTGGATTGAATCTCTCTATGGATTTAATTCATTTATTTGATGAGTTTTTATTTTTGTGGTAACATGGTAGGTTTAACTATTCATCATTAGTCGATGTTAGCAAGTAATTTAATGACCACCGCACATAGACCACAAAAATATAGGTTCACAACTTGTCAATTCCCTCCATGACAAAAAAATCTATTCACCATTAGTGGATTTATTATTTTTTTTAATCAATGGTATTAATTTTGAATTCAGATTATATTAGGTTTAGATTTAATTTAAAATTTCGTGTCAAAAAAATAAAAAACCCAAATAATATTATAGGGGCATGTAGATTGAGATAAAACCTGATTACTAATTGAATGCGTGTAAAATAAGCTGAAAATAGTTCATCTGTTGCTAAATATCTGTCATTTAAGATTTTTGTACAGGGATTAAGAAAGCTATTAAATACTTCTAGTATGAGTAAAAAATAATTGTACAAGACTAAAATATCATTATTCAATACGTATTGGGAAGGGAAGAAATATGAAATACACTTATCCTATATTTAATTTATTAAGCACTTATTGAAAAACAGAGATAAGGATAAATTTAGAAGAAAAAATATTAATTATGTTTTGGTTTCATAAAACGATAGATATTGTGGAACAAAAAAAATTGGATAAACAGACATATATTTAGAAACGGAGAGAGTAACTTACAAACATGGGTTGAAAATTGAATTTACGATATTAAGAAATTTAATAGGATAAATTGGTGTTTAATTTGGGGATGGTAATAACGGACCCCAGATCCTAGGAGTTAAAGGGCCATGGCATTGTGGAGATGCCCATGGATTATGGGCTTTTGAAACTAGAANTCCTTCATTGAGGCAACATTGGCCTTTGTAACGCTAAGATTTGGTTTGCATCTGCTCATATGTGTTTCCTGTATTGTTTTTCATTTATAACTTTCTTTGTGTTCTATAACTGCAGAGTAGAACATTAAGGTGTTCATTATCTGACACCAAATACAGATTATTTATTGGTAATGTTCCAAAGAGCTGGACTGATGCTGAGTTTACAAAGCTCGTTGACGAGACTGGTCCAGGAGCAGAAAATGTTGAGCTTATTAAGGTGTGTTTTGACTTTTTGTGCTTCTGATAAAGTATGCTATTTTTTTTACTTTATCCTAGTAGAGAGTAAATAGCTTGAAATGATGAACTTAATAGTAGTGTTGTCTTGTATGATACAGGATCCTCAAAATCCAAGCCGTAATCGTGGTTTTGCTTTTATTGAGTATTACAACAATGCTTGTGCTGATTATTCTAGACAGAGAATGTCAAGTGCAAATTTTAAGCTGGATGGCAACACTCCAACTGTCACCTGGGCTGATCCAAAGAGTACACCTGATCATTCTGCTGCTTCTCAGGTGAACTTCAACAGCTAGGATTGCGAAACAACTGATAGATAGAAAATAATTCTAATTGGGATTTCATTAAAAATATCCAATTCATATGAGAATGCTCATGGGGTCAATTGATAGACATTTTGAGTGAGAAAGAGAATCCAGGATGAACACTTTTTTCATTCTCTATGCACTGATTGGATGTATACTCGCGTGATCAATCCATGGACGGGGAAATTGTGTGAATGACGAGACCGGTCTAACCTAAAGTAAAAGTTCTTCCTTCTCTTGATGGCGAATTACTTGAGTCGATGGATGGAGGGCTCCCCCTTCAACTCCACAAAAAGTCTCAAAATAGCAAAATCCATTACCAAACCAAACTAAGTTTTATGTCTCAATCATTTGGGGTCGGCTATATGAGTCCATTTTCGTCATTCATTTTGGTCATGCGTTATACGCTCATTTGAATTAAGTATTTTTATATCTTTTTTTATTATTTTGTTCAATGTTAATTTGAGTCTATCCTTGCTCCTAGTACCATTAAAAGAAATTCTATAACTTTTTCTAATTGGTGTCTCTATCGGCCTCCTTTTAACATGAACAAACAATCTTAATCTATTCTCTCTCATCTTAATCTATTCTCTCACAAGGCAAAGATGACACACGCGTAAGACTAGAAACTTGACACTTTAAACTAGAAGAGACGAATGATTAAGATGGCAATGTCACTAGAGTGGGGACAATGTAGTCTGCAAGGTGCGAGGTGCAAGGTGCGGGCTTGAAATCAAGATAATAAAGATCACTTGATTCATGACCAATCTTCTTATTTGTTTGGAGATCCTAAAAGACACAAGATGAGCATTTAAGCGAACGAGTTTTCTTACTATAAATAACAAACTAATGGGAACTAAGGGATAGACAAAACAGAAGATAAGTTCAGAGAGGAACTAAGGTACATAGTGCCAAAACTAGAAACCTTTGGGGAACAACCATTAGCCGGAGTAACACTTCGAGATGAGGTTAAAGGGTGAAAGTTAGATAAATGACTCGAAAAGCCAGTCATATGCTTAGAAGCTCTAGAATCAATGATCCATGGGATAGGGTTGGAGGACAACAGACATGCAAATGTCTGACCAGACTGAACAAAAGTAACAGTTGAGAAAGACATGACTAGTCTTGGAGACAAATTGTGCATACTCATCCTGAGAAATAATAATGAAATCTATATCAAGGGATTGATTGGCCCCAAAAGGTGAAATGATAGGAGTTTGATGATTCAAGACTAATTGTTTACCATGCAAATCCCAACGATAATCTACATTGTGATAATTATGACTAGCATGAGTACATTTACGAATTTCACGACCTTCTTTACCACCATGACCTCAATGAGAATCACTAGAATGACTATGGGTGACAATTGAGGTTGAACGACCACCACCATGATCAATACATGCAAGGGAACTATGATCTGATAAGGTATCATACTAAATGTGAGAAAACACACCAGGAAGAGATGGAGGCTTTGGGCCTCCTAAAATTTGTGCACGGATGGACTCATATTCTGGTTTTAACCCAACTAAAAATCGAACGTCAAAGTCTTCACATTGTTGTTGCATACGTGAAACATTAGAAGAGGTAGGCTGATACATCTTAAGTTCCTCACAGATTCTCATAACTTTTGAAATGTACTCCTCGAGACAAGATACCCCGTGCAAGACCAAAGTATTGCCCGTATACCTCATAAATACGAGTGATATTATCAATGCTAGAATACATAGTCAACTAGAACTGATACGAGATATACTACTATTCAACATAAATGAAGTAATCTGTGTATCTTCCAGTTCCCGTTGAGCAAAACCAGAATGACTATCTTTTGTTTTGTCTTGTGAAATGCTTATGAAATCTTTTCCCTTTAAGAAAGATTGTGATAGACCGAGACCACATGACGTTGTAATAAACGAAGGATACAAGGAAATCACTTTTTTCAAATGATGAGAACAAAAACACTCTGAATCCACAGAGTAAATAAGAGAAGAATTCTGAAAATGCTATTGATTTCAAACTATGCGGAGACCTTTTCCCTGGTATTTAAAATCTCTTTTGTCAGAGTTTTGATTTCACTTACTGCTAATCTTGACTGTCCTTTATTTCAATTAGATGTTAAGAATTTTTTCTTATATGGTGATCTAAAGGAAGAAGTTTACATAAAGCAACCATTTGAGTTTGTAGCTCAAGGGGAGTATCGGGGTAGTGTGTGCAAACTAAGAAAGCTTTGTATGGGTTGAAATAATTTTCGCGCACGTGGTTTGGGAAACTTTAGAGGCATTATTGGATTTTGGTTCTCAGAGATGCCAAAAAGATGATTTAGTATTTCATTTACAAACTGGTAAAGGTAATATTCTTCTTGTTGTTTATGTTGATCATATTGTGATTACATGTGATGATTTGGTGGGCATTGTCAAGTTGAAACAGTTTTTATAACATCGGTTTCATACCGAAGATTTAGAAAAACTTAAATGCTTTCTTGGTATCGAAGATGCTAGATCTAAACAGGGTATTAACCTGTCCTAGAGAAAATATGTGCTTGGTCTTTTGGAGGAAATTTAGTTTTTAGGTGGTCGACCAATTGACATCGCTTTGGATCCAAATCATAAACTGCCAGGGACTAATGGTGAATGTTTCTCTGATCCTGAACAACATTGTTTTCTAGTTGAAAAATTGAATTACCTCCCTATTACTCGACCAAATATCTCATATGCATTAAATGTGGTTAGTCAATTTATGGAGACTCCTCGACTACCACATTGGGATGTTGTTATTTGTATTATTCGCTATCTCAAGAGTGCTCCTGGACGTGGACTTTTGTAGCAGTCGCATGGACATTTTTTGTTGGAAGGGTTCACAGAGACAGAACAGGATATTGCACATTTTTGAGAGGTAATTTGGTTGTATGGATGAGTAAGAAGGAGATAGTGGTAGAGCAATGACTCACTCATGTAATGAGTTGACATGGCTACAATACTTCCTTTAGGAAATTGATTTTCTAATTCAAACTATGGTTTAGTTGTTCTGTGATAATCAAGAAGCAGTTCATATAGTTTCTAATCCAGCGGTTCATGAACAAACGAAATACATTGAGGTTGATTGCCACTTTGTTTGAAAAAAGGTGTTGTGAGGAGACATTATCATAACATTTGTCAAGTTTGAGGATCAACTTGCTAATATGTTTATGAAGTCCTTAAGTAGTACTCAGTTAAGAGATATTTGTTCAAAGTTNTCAAGTTTGAGGATCAACTTGCTGATATGTTTATGAAGTCCTTAAGTAGTACTCAGTTAAGAGATATTTGTTCAAAGTTGGGATTATATGATGGAGGAGTGTTAGAATAAATAGGAATGACATTTTTGTAATAAGGATACTCCATAAGGGGTATATAGGTCTTTACATTATTCTTGCATACATATATATACATGGAGTAGAGAGACGGGTTGTGTGTGCTCTCCTTTTCCATTCGCTCCATACCCTAGCCTATATTCACAGAGGTCATGTGAGCGTTAAAGAAAATCCTTGAAGTAAATTTTGGTGGAATAGTGACAGTGTCTGCTTTGTTTGCTTTAGAATCCATCACCACAGTAAATAAAAGTCAAGAAATAATGAAGCATGCTAAATCAACTGAAGAGGATTGTATTGGATAGGAAAATAACCAAACCAATATTGGAATCAAGGTGAAAACCACAGCTGTGCCGAAATAGGCAGAACCAAAGCTGAAAGCCCCTGAACTGGTGCTAAGAACACTGAGTGGGAATGAACCGGTGAAAAAAATAAATAGAAAGAGGTGATGCAGAATATAAAGAAACTTGAATTGGATCAAACCGGACTGAGACAAAAGTGACGGATGATGAATCGTTCTGGATTGGGCTTGAACTGTCTGTTCTGGGCTAGAACCGGTTTGGTCTTGACTTGAACTTTGTCTTGTCTGGGCTGAGTTAGCTGGACAAGCAGTCTGGACTTAAAATTTCTCATTGGTCTATGTTGGACTTAGCTGGGCTACAACTAGGTGGGTCAAGTACTCTAGGCGGGTTGGAGTTAAATCGGATTAATTATGATCTGAGGCCAACCCATAAGAAGACTTCTTCTTCTTTGATGGATGACTAGCCTGGAAATCCTAGGTAGCAATGGTGGGAAGCGCAGACAACCATGATGCGTAGAAGGCGATGATCTCACGGAGATTTGTAGGCAACAACTACACAAGATACTGATTCATGCAACACACATCATTGAAGAACATTAAGATGAAGGTGTAGGGGTTGAGAAATTGATGACGACTTTGTCAAATTCTAGAGGCTACGAGGACCAAAAAGCACAGTACAAAACACAANAGGGGTTGAGAAATTGATGACGACTTTGTCAAATTCTAGAGGCTACGAGGACCAAAAAGCACAGTACAAAACACAACTTGACATGCGATTAGGGCTAGGCTCCAACTCCAACTCTAACTCTGTCAGAGGGTACATTTTCGACCTTTGACTCCGATTGTAGTTGGCGTGAATTTTGCCCTTCGACTTTGACTCAGAACTACTATACCTCTGTTTTCGACTCCACCTTGTCAGAGGCGGATTNTTTGACTCCGATTGTAGTTGGCGTGAATTTTGCCCTTCGACTTTGACTCAGAACTACTATACCTCTGTTTTCGACTCCACCTTGTCAGAGGCGGATTAGAGTTTCGGAGTTGGGCTAGAGGCAAACTATTCGTTTCTCACTCTGTTGCTCCATCTCGGATCCATTGCTCCCTCCATCTTAACGGTCGACTATGTGTGCATGTGTGAGAGAGAGACACACACACAGAGATCTGAGAAACGATTCTCACATCTGAGAAAAGAAGGGGCTTTACACAGAGAGAGAGAGAGAGATACTAACTCGGATTGGAGTCGTTGGATACTAATGTCGGAAACCTATCCTCTCGTTGTTGAGTATGCCAAACATTGTCGATGAAGATGTTGAGGTTGTCATCAAGAAGGTTGGGGCTGTGATTTGAGTACACCAAACGTTGCCGAACATCGCCATGTGTTTGTTTGAGAGTGAGAGAGAGAGAGGGGGGGGAACAAAGACAAATCTTAGAAAGCTCAAATCTAGAGTTTTTGGCTGACAGCAGATAAGAGAGGGAGAGAGGGAGGGGGGATTTGATAGAAAGAGGGGATTTTATAGAAATGGAGTCAAAATTTTTTCGGAATGGATTTTAGACTCCAACTCCGATGAAGGTAGTGTTGGATTGGAGTCGGAGTCGGAGTCGGTGTCGGACTTTTGGATTTTTGCACACCCCTATATACAATGATTCAAATCAATCAATTTAAACCATCTGCAACTAACCACCATCCGTCTCAAACACCACTGCCAAGCACTGCGTCGACATCAAGAACCACCATAAAGCTCCGATATCACCCCTTTAGAGCTCCATGTTCAAACTTCAACACAAGTCCACAAATCAGGAAGAGTCTTTGTTTCGGTTCTTGTACTAAAAACAAAGAAAGGAAGGGCAGAAGAGAAAGAAAGAGAAGGAAGGTTAGAAATCAGTGCTATGAAATCATGTTAAGATTAGGGTGTAGAAAGAGAGAGAGACGTGAGAGAAGAGAAGAGAGTGATCCACCGCCAGTCTCACACTTTGTATATATGAAGAGAGTGATCCACCGCCTGTCTCACCCTTTGTATATATAAGTATGCAAAACATGATTGAAAGACTAATATACCCATTAGGGGACATACATATTGAAATGATGGCACCTAAATACTCCGACAGAATCAAACATCGCATATNTATATATAAGTATGCAAAACATGATTGAAAGACTAATATACCCATTAGGGGACATACTTATTGCAATGATGGCACCTAAATACTCCGACAGAATCAAACATCGCATAACTTCTGTATTGCATTTTTTTCTTTTTTTTGCACTAGAGATGGCCTAAGAAATGTCTTATATTCTCGTATTTTTTTGGTATTCTGACAAATGCATCTTAATTGACAATACATGAATGGTAGATGTATGCTTGGAATCTCAGCACAATCCATTTGAACAAAGAACACAATGCAATTGGAAGAATGTTTGCTTATTCACAATATCTCGAACGAAGAGCCCTTGATAGCATTTCAGTTTTCTCGAAACTGTTGAGCCTAATGAATTTGGGGTCTATTCTCTTGCTGAGATGAGAGCAGTCAGTTTAGTAACCCTTGTAAGACTGATTTTGACATTTTTAAAATTTGGATAACGTGAGTGAAAATTATACTTCTGCTGATGGTATGAAACTTTTTTTGACTTGTGCCATTGAGTGAAGATGTATTTTCTGTTGTGTTTCACAGGTGAAGGCTCTTTATGTCAAGAACATACCTGAGAGCACATCTCCTGAACAGCTGAAAGAACTATTCCTGCATCATGGGGAAGTCACAAAAGTTGTCAGGCCGCCAGCCAAAAGTGGTGGCAAGCGTGACTTTGGATTCATCCATTTTGCAGAAAGGTCAAGTGCATTGAAGGCTGTCAAAGATACAGAGAAGTATGAAATTGATGGTAATGTTCCAAACCATACTTTCGATATAAGTTGAAGCAACAAGTGGATAAGCTATAAACAAAGATCCATATCTACAATGTAACAATAAGTGAAAATTTTCAGTGTATGGAAACCATGCTAGTTTATTGTTTTGGTAATTGCCCTAATTTTGTTGTCAGTTGTAATCTTTTACATCCTCAAAATGTTGAATATTGGGATATAATATATTACTAACCTGTAAAAAGATGAGAAGTAAACATTCTTTTCTATGTTTTTTTTTTCTGTCTTAAATTGCAATGGCTTATCAAGGGTTCGCCATTTCAATGGAAATAACATCAGCTCTAAGATCTCTCTTGGTTGGTTTGACTTCAGAGGTCAGACAATGCCTTCAAATGGAAAATGGCAAACTATTTCATCAACGATTCAATATTGTAGAACCACCATGGAGTGGACATTGTCTTCTGTTTATATATGTGTCCTCAAATGTTTGGAAGTTTTTAGAGAATGAAAAACAGAAATAACTAATTTTTTGGTTCAGTTAGAATTGTAACAGCTTTTACTTGGACTAATAACTTCTCAATGGACATGAGTCACAGGTCAGGTATTGGAAGTAGTTCTTGCAAAGCCTCAAACTGATAAGAAGATTGATGGGGCTAATCCCCCCAATTCTGGGCCACATCCAAATTACATTCCTCACTCTGTGTATGGTGCTTTTCCTGGAAATGCTTATGGTCATGTAGGGACTGGATATGGTGTTGCCGCTGGATTTCAGCAGGTAATCCACTGGATGATTGTTGGTATTCATGACCCTTGGGTGTAATTGCTTATTGATCAAATTCCATCTCATGACTTGCACACTTGAACAGCCTGTTATATATGGAAGGGGACCAATGCCAACAGGGATGCAAATGGTACCGATGGTTCTACCAGATGGTCGAATTGGTTATGTTCTGTAAGTCGCAATTTTTGTATGGTACTTTACTTTGACTTGTATTATTTAGGAAATCTAACTACGGTTTTACTGGCTTTGAGATTGTGCAGTCAGCAGCCTGGAGTTCAAATGCCGCTGCTGCGTCCTCGGAGAAATGATCGAAGCAATGGCACAGGTGGACCACAAGTACGAGGAGGGACTAGTAGTGGCAGTGATGATGCGAACCGCAGCAGACGATATCGACCCTACTAGGTGTAGAGGATCAGTAACATGTTGTACTTGAATAGCTAGTTATTGCTGACCAAATCACATTTTGCCTCCCTCACTACCAAACCCCCCTTTCCTCTTCTCTTTCCCGTCATCCAAAGCGAAAGGAAATTAGTTTAGAACCTTGAGAGTGAGTTATATTATAATTTACTGGAACTTGGACAGCGCTGTTCGGGGATCATGAAAGTTCCATAATCACCTCTCCTATGTTTACTTGCTCTGCCATTATTTATATTTGATCCGAGTGAAATTTAAGCTTTTGTTGCTTTGCAGAATGCTAGCTGAACGTAATTTCTCTAATTGTCTATCATATGCTTTACAGAGTAGACGTGCGATTGATTTTCAGTGACAATCGTGATATTGGCCCGCCTTGTCGATGTTTCTCTGATAGTGAGAGCAAAAATGGTAGGACCACCTGCTGGACCATTGGTTTTTGACTGCAGAGGGAGGGGTTAAATGATCTGTTTGTCTCTAGGCAGTTATGTAAGAGATGCAAAAAGTCAGAACGGAGGAGAGATACTCGAACTGTTCATGTTCATAACCAAAAAATATTGGTTGTGTGGGGTAGGTTTTCTGAATCACTGTTAATTCTGCTTGTTTTTGGTCACAACTTTGACTAGCCGTTGAGTTACGTGCTCTTTGCGATCTCGTACCCAACCAATATGTTTGGATGTAACCCAGCCAACCAAAGCAAATCATGAAAGAACAAAACTAGAAAACAGTATCTAAAAATATATTTATGAGAAGAGTTATAGAAAATTGTGTTTGGATATGTTCTTAAAATATTGTACCTAAAAAAAATATTTTTGAGAAGAGTTTTAGAAAATTGTGCATTTATTTTTTTTGTATTCTAAAACTTATTTGNATATTGTACCTAAAAAAAATATTTTTGAGAAGGGTTTTAGAAAATTGTGCATTTATTTTTTTTTGTATTCTAAAACTTATTTGGTTATATTATTTTAAAACTAGTTTTTAAAGTACAAAATAGTAAAATATATTTGGATAGCGATCTAAGAAATAATAAAAATATGGGATATAATTTAAAGTTACTCTTTGATAAAAATTTTGTAAAAAGAGCATGAGGATGAGGGCAGGNTGGTTATATTATTTTAAAACTAGTTTTTAAAGTACAAAATAGTAAAATATATTTGGACAGCGATCTAAGAAATAATAAAAATATGGGATATAATTTAAAGTTACTCTTTGATAAAAATTTTGTAAAAAGAGCATGAGGATGAGGGCAGGTTGGGGTGAGTCACCACTTTTTTTTTTTTCGGTCGGTATTTTATAACATGTGCACGAACAAGATTTATTCACATAAACTCTCAACATTGTATTACTTAATGCTAAAAATTAACCCACAGACTTTACAAAAAAAAAAAATAAAAGAAAAATCTTGCAAGAGCTTGTTAGAAGTTGATTGAACCTCTTTTTGTCAGTTTGTGCCATTTGAAGGACCGGAGCTTTGGAGTCTGGTGGTTTGAAGGGATTGACCAAACTTGTTTGGAAGTAGAGTGAAAGACACGAACAATAGAAAAAAAAAATTCCTTTTTAAACAATGTTTTTAAGTGCATGGTAAATCGCATTCCATATTTTCAATTTTTTCTGAAACTGTGTTTTAAATAATGTTCAATTTTTATTGAAGCTATTATTATAAATACATGGATGCTTAATCTTNTTTAAATAATGTTCAATTTTTATTGAAGCTATTATTATAAATACATGGATGCTTAATCTTATATTTAGGTAATAATATTCATTTTAATAACAATTCTAAAAACACAAAGTACTCGAGTTCGTGTTGTGAAACTCTTCTCCATTGAAAGTACATAGGGTTCAAACCTTTATGTTGTATCCCATAGTGACAGTTCTAAAAATTCTTAGTGATTGAATTTTTTTNTTGCACAGAAGCATCGAACGGTCATTGCCAAAGTACCAATTGAGTGTGATATTTTCAGTGCTTACAACCACTGCATACGTATTGGAATTTGCTTTGAGGAGTTGATTTGCGAGGTCGATAGATATAAGGCCTGCACTGCAGCCCATTCCGCCAAGGTTGTAGCTCTTGATATCGGGTCGAAGCTTATAATGGTTGACGATCATGGAGGAGAGAGATGGGGTTGGATTGAATAGGCTACAATTCACGATAAGAATTCCGATGTCATTGGGCTTAACTCCGGTTTTAGAGAAAAGTGAGTCGAGTGCACCGAACATGACAGCCTCAGCCTCCAACCGGGCTTCTTTAATGCACAAATTTGGCGGTCTAGACGTAATACCACTAGGTAGATATGTCTCATCACCTAAACCGGACCGGACTGAGATTCGTCTTTGGAATTGAACGGCTTCTTCCCCAAAGGCACCGTTCTCTTCAGTCATCTTCAAGAACGATTCAACTGACATTTTCCGTTCGTCTTCCGGCTTATAACAAGCGAAGTCCACGAGGTAGACAGATCTGGGTCGCTTGGCACAGTATAGTCCTAACAGGAACATCAATACGATTGAACCCGCTAATCCGGTGGCTGTGTCAAGAACGTTGGTTTGGCTAGTCCATATGTCTGGAACCCGGTCGATTCTTAGACCACTCAGTTGAATGAGAGTGGCTATGGACACGGGTAAAACTACAAGGAACATGAAAACAGTGGCAGGGTTGCATGAATAGCCATAGCCCAACTTCACGTATTTGAGTTTCACAGACTGCAAAAAGTCTGGCAATCTTCTACGGATTTTGATAACAGCAGATGATGAGTCCTTAAATGCCATTTCTGCCGTCAACCTCTCCTTATCCATCTCTATACTACCCATTCTATGTGTGTGTTATTGTGTGCTTGTACTTTGCTTCTTAAACAAGGTGGTTTGGTGTTGTTTAGAAGAGTCTAAAAGAAGCTGAACTAATTAAACCTCCAAGGAAAAATAATTGCAGTGTCGAAAGCAAGCCCAACACGCTTGGAAGTTGGAAGAATTGGTTGGGGGAATGCAGAGAAAAGGAAGAGCTTAAAAGAAGAGAGAAGGAGAGAGAAACTGAATTACAAGAAGTAGCACATAGCTGCAAGAAAGCTGGATTGATGGCCTTACATTTAATGGTGAGTGATATGGAGAAATCAAGGATAGCTAGATAGCTCAACCACCGAACGAATTGAGTGTCCAAAAATGTTGAAGGAACAACATTTTTAGACCATTTTGTGAGTCCGACATGCCAAGTCTTGATATAGGTAATGTTGTTATGTTGTTGTTGATGGAGGTGGGGGATATTGACCAAGTGGGCATGTGAGAATTTGAGATTACGTTCAAGCAATCTTTGATAAAGAGTCCATGAGGTACTCTCAGTTTCCATATGCAAACAGCAAGAAAACCTTTTTCATTTCAAGGGGCCCACGTGGCGTTCTATTGTGGCTTAAAGCATAATGTATATGGGACGGTAGGGTGTGCTTGGATTTGGATTCCATTTCTATTTTCATAAATTTTGATCAAGTTTAATCGCCTTTTGTTAAAGAGAACTATATATAGAATCCATTTGGGCGATGCTCCAAGCAACGCTAGTCAGGGGTTCAGGAAAAGATATATATATATATATATATATAATCCATGGGATGTAATGGATTTAGTGGTAGACGATTCTAGTTGATCCGTGTGTGTGTGTGTGTAGGGTGGTTATTTAATAGAATTTTTTAAGGGAAGGTGGGTGTAGGTGACTGACCATCAAGAAACAATAAATATTGAGGAAGTCAAAGAAGGTAGACGCTTACCTGCCCTAACCCCAAATCTGAAAGGACTGTGTTACCTTCGGCTTCGTTCTTTCATACCCGATTATCCATTTGAGTCTAATAAGGCCACTTCATGATTGATGATGCCTAGAAAATCTCAAGGTTAAGTTCCGTTATTCAGATCAGATCGGGAGCCCTGTAATACAGAAACCTCAAGCTCTCTGAATCCACATTTCAAAGGAAGCGGAGTGAAAGACAGCTAGCAACTACTACATTTCTACTCAATGGGATTAGGCATCAGTCCAGACACCAAATTCGCAACTCCTCCGTCACTCCGCATAACCACTACACAAATCAAGTAAAACGTTATATGAGAGAGACGAAGATCACACTTCAGATTCAACTAAGCTCAAAATTTGTTATAAATACTGTACAAAGTCCTCGCTAGAGTACAAGCAACAAAAGCTTTATCAAACTATTGTGTAACTTCCCTTTTTATCAATATATTCCTAAGGAGTAAGACACTCTATTGAAGAGTGGATTAGCCGTGCTCCCGAGCTGGTGAACTACTATAATTCTTATGTATAATTGACCTAATTTTCCTAAATTCATGTTCTCAAGAGCCTTGAAGCTCAGATTGAATTTTTCAGTGCACCTTACATTCTCTGTTTTGCTAAATTATGTTATACACATCATCAATGATGATGTTAAGCGAAGAGCTAATTGATTCCTACAATCAAGGGATTTGATTTTTCCCTATAATTCAGCTCCTGTAACTTTGAAATTGTGCAAACAATATTTGTTTTTTTTCCATATACATAGTTTTCACAATGAACTTTTCATTCTATATGCTGTTGTCCGAATCATTGTATTCAAATCAGTCAATGAACCGCAGATACGAAGAATTCTTTTTCTTCCATCCATGTTGGACGTATATATTTTTTCACTATGTGAATACTCATTCCCATCTTTATGTTAATAACGGAGTAGAAATATTTGAGCTCAATTTTGAAGTCAGGTTCAAAGTCTTAAACACTAGGCCTTTCAATTCAAACTTAAAAGATACAAAAGACGTACTTTTAGGAATTTTTTTATCAAAAAAATAATTATTTCCTGGGTAATATGGAGAAGAGTATGGATTTGGTCCTTGCTATACATATTTTATTAGTTATGGTTAACGAAGTTCTTTCTTATCACATTAGTCAAGATCAAACAATTTTGATCATAGAAACCTATCACGGGCCTAATAAATTTAATGATGAATGACTGAACTCTCTCTGTTTTTTTTTTTTTGGAATGCATGAAAAATTAGAGTAATAAAACTTTTCAGAAGATTTGGTCTTACAATGAAAAAAGAGAAAAGAAAGAATATACAATTTTTGTTTACCATGATGAGTCATTGCAGTGGATTTATGAATTCATAAGGATCGATATTTCATCCACTTAACTCTTGTTTTTCCCCCAAAATTGGGTGGGAATATTTTGGTGGGTAGGTAAAATAGACTATCCTCCTAATTTTCCTCTTGATATGTCGGGCGAAAAATGTTTCTTTTTGATGGTGTATTCTGCACGGTTGAGCAGAGGTAAATGGATTGGGGATTTATTGATGGTGATTAGTGGAGCATTCAGTCTGTGCTTCTTTGCTCTTGGTGGTTGAACAATCAATTCAGGGATAATAACTGTGAGTAGAATTTAATAGACAGGAAGTTTATAGTGGTTCACCCACTTGGAAGCATGACTAGTCTTTCGTAATGAAGTCTCTNCTTGGTGGTTGAACAATCAATTCAGGGATAATAACTGTGAGTAGAATTTAATAGACATGAAGTTTATAGTGGTTCACCCACTTGGAAGCATGACTAGTCTACCGTAATGAAGTCTCTTGTTCTTGAAGGAATTCTCTATTACTTGGGAAATGAGGTTACAGAATTACAAAGTGTTACATTCCATAGGTGTGACGTGACCCTCAAGAAGGTATGAGTTGTTATTGTCGTAGTGCACACGAGGATCACGTTGGTGATGATTCTCGATTTGCGCCCCCTGAATTAGGAGTCTCAAGCTGGAAGGTCTGAGATATGAGGTCTGACCTGGGATGTCTGATATGTGACATATGTGCTAAGGTGCCTGAACCGAGGTGACCACTTGGGATTAAGGGGTTAACTCGTTCACTCGACCTTAGCTGTCTCGATCGGAACCCAAATTCTGACAATATATCATGGGCCTTTATTAAGGGTAAATCCCCAATCTACTACTGGTCGAGCTTAACCTTGGCTAATTTTTGGTATCATCAATTGTCCCCCTAGTCCCTAACTAAGTAAGTCTTGCCTAATGTAGATTGGGAATGATCTGCACTACTAGCTGTGGATAAGTTAGGTTTGTTTTTTATGAGAAAGGTGTGCTGACATTTCTCAAGGTTTTTGGCGTCACACACCTACAGGGGGTCACACGTGCCTTGATTATTGTGCTTGCTCAATGTTCTCGCACCACTTGTCCAACCATACGAAAGTCTTAAATGTTTCTGTAGACAAAAAACCACTAGACACTTTTTTTTTTTTCATATTTTTTATCTTTTCAAATCCTTTCTTCCTTCTTCCAGAAAACGCCTCTTTTTTCCCTTTGCTCTGCAACTTCTTCAATCCTTTCTTCCTCTGTTCATCAAGCCTTCTCAATGAGCGCCCAGACCTTCCTTGGGTCCACTTTGAGGATGCACGAAGCTTCTCCCTATCTTTCTAGGTGTTGTTCTTGGTTTTCAACTGTCAATCGCCTTTGTTTAGCTACGTCTTTTGCTTTATCTCTTTTTAATTTCTCTCTCCTAGGATTTCTTGGTCAACCATGGATCCTTCAAATCTGAGGTGATTATTCAACTTTTAGTCATTCCACTTTTCTTACTTTAGGAGCTTTGGTCATTCTTTAACTTTTTTTCCCCTTTTCTTGGATCCCTACATGACTGCTAGGGTTTTTCTCTTTAATCGTTGGTGTCTTAACCCTTGAGCCCTTGAGGATCGTTCTTCGAACATTCCTTCCCTCTACGCTTCTTTTGGCTATTTTTCCCTTCGTGCCTTTAGGTCTTTTTCTTTTAAGGCTATGGGGTCTTCTGTCTCTCTTGCCATGGATGACAAATCTCTCGAGGTCAAAGTTCGATCTCGTCGTCACAAACACATTGGTGGAAATGATGTTCTGACATCCCCCGGNTCATATTTTTTATCTTTTCAAATCCTTTCTTCCTTCTTCCAGAAAACGCCTCTTTTTTCCCTTTGCTCTGCAACTTCTTCAATCCTTTCTTCCTCTGTTCATCAAGCCTTCTCAATGAGCGCCCAGACCTTCCTTGGGTCCACTTTGAGGATGCACGAAGCTTCTCCCTATCTTTCTAGGTGTTGTTCTTGGTTTTCAACTGTCAATCGCCTTTGTTTAGCTACGTCTTTTGCTTTATCTCTTTTTAATTTCTCTCTCCTAGGATTTCTTGGTCAACCATGGATCCTTCAAATCTGAGGTGATTATTCAACTTTTAGTCATTCCACTTTTCTTACTTTAGGAGCTTTGGTCATTCTTTAACTTTTTTTCCCCTTTTCTTGGATCCCTACATGACTGCTAGGGTTTTTCTCTTTAATCGTTGGTGTCTTAACCCTTGAGCCCTTGAGGATCGTTCTTCGAACATTCCTTCCCTCTACGCTTCTTTTGGCTATTTTTCCCTTCGTGCCTTTAGGTCTTTTTCTTTTAAGGCTATGGGGTCTTCTGTCTCTCTTGCCATGGATGACAAATCTCTCGAGGTCAAAGTTCGATCTCGTCGTCACAAACACATTGGTGGAAATGATGTTCTGACATCCCCCGGGGTGAGTCAAAAGGTCAACTTATCTGACCCTGATGAACTTGATGACCTTAGGGATGTGGGAGACGAGATAGACAACTTCCTCAAAGTTGATGTGGTTGACGTCAGGGCTGTTAGTGCTAGGGCTCCCCTGCTCCTCCGTGGCTCAGCTGCGAAACCTAAAAAGTCTCTAAAGAGACGGGGTAAGAAAAACGTTATCAGGACCTCGGGCACTACTGGGGAAGATGAGGTCTCTTCGGGCACTTTAGACACCTCGAGACCTTGTAAAGTTAACCCTC